CAAAAATACTTTAAACTATAGTAAATTGTATATTGCGTTCTACTAAACTAATTTAATTCTTTTTTAGCGCAATTTCCATACTGACAATTGCGATTATTAATTCGTTATTTCTGGATGGATGGATGGATGGATGGATGGATGGATGGATGGATGGATGGATGGATGGATGGATGGATGGATGGATGGATGGATGGATGGATGGATGGATGGATGGATGGATGGATGGATGGATGGATGGATGGATGGATGGATGGATGGATGGATGGATGGATGGATGGATGGATGGATGGATGGATGGATGGATGGATGGATGGATGGATGGATGGATGGATGGATGGATGGATGGATGGATGGATGGATGGATGGATGGATGGATGGATGGATGGATGGATGGATGGATGGATGGATGGATGGATGGATGGATGGATGGATGGATGGATGGATGGATGGATGGATGGATGGATGGATGGATGGATGGATGGATGGATGGATGGATGGATGGATGGATGGATGGATGGATGGATGGATGGATGGATGGATGGATGGATGGATGGATGGATGGATGGATGGATGGATGGATGGATGGATGGATGGATGGATGGATGGATGGATGGATGGATGGATGGATGGATGGATGGATGGATGGATGGATGGATGGATGGATGGATGGATGGATGGATGGATGGATGGATGGATGGATGGATGGATGGATGGATGGATGGATGGATGGATGGATGGATGGATGGATGGATGGATGGATGGATGGATGGATGGATGGATGGATGGATGGATGGATGGATGGATGGATGGATGGATGGATGGATGGATGGATGGGTGGATGGGTGGATGGGTGGGTGGGTGGATGGATGGATGGATGGATGGATGGATGGATGGATGGATGGATGGATGGATGGATGGATGGATGGATGGATGGATGGATGGATGGATGGATGGATGGATGGATGGATGGATGGATGGATGGATGGATGGATGGATGGATGGATGGATGGATGGATAATAATATAATAATAAAACTAAATAGTATTATCTAATCAATAGTGGCTCGCCCAGGACAGGGTGGAATGGCGGAGATTTGTTGTTGCCCTATACTCCACAGGGAGTGATGAGGATTAAGTAAGTAAAGTAATCAATAGTAATATAACTTTTACATCTTGTATTAACAATGACCGATAAAAAACTTTTACTTCGGCGCCCCACGTTTTTCATCGCTTATAGTCGAGTGATCGCTTGCATTATTGTGATGTATAGAATTTATTCTCTACTTTTTAGTTCAATCAGAAAACGTGGGGTTTTTTTAACTTTTTTAAAGATAATTATTTTCTACTTTTTAGTCTTTGTCTGTTTGTTTGCATTCAAATCTTGCTATCCATTTTATCTACTCGCATTCACTTTTTTTTTGGTAACACATAGATTTGAACCCGTGTCGAGTGGGTTAGCAATCGAGTGCCCAACCACTCGACCATATCGTCTCCCCCATACTGGCCACCAGTTGTTACGTTCCGGTTGTTTGTACACAAACACCGCGTGACCACTACTCAGTAAGCCAAAAGAAGGAGAGTACCGAACCTTGTTTTCATCAAATTACAATTACTAGGTTATGTCCCTTTTTCCCACGTTTTTTGTACAAATATATAGGGATCTAAAATGATCAATAAAATGTTTCCATGGATCAATTTAGTAATAATAACAATTGAATATTCTATTGTCATCGGAAACAAAGCTTCCCTGAAAATTTCAGCGCGCTAGCTAACTGGGAAGAGCCCGAAATTTCGATCGCAAGAAAAAAAGAAAAAAGAAAAAATAACTTCATCGAGACAACAGCTAACTAAGCCCGCTTTTTTTGTCCGCCGTGTATTTGAATCGGAAGAAATCTAGCAGACCACACATTTCAAATGAACAGCAGTGAACGGTCAATTGTATCACAACAATACTCTTTAAAAACTGACACCTACCCCCCCCCCCCGTGTCAGTCATTTCATCGTAGCCATTTAAAACAAACGCGTTTTTTTTTTCTTTCACAAATCGTTTTCTAGACTACCGATTTAAATTTGATAATTAAAATAGGTATCGAATTAAAGGTAGATAAATGTAGTTTTTAATTGTGTAATTGATCTTGAACAATAAGGAAGTTAAAAAAGTTAGGGCGACACCCTAACGATAGTGGAACTCGAGCTAAACAAATATAAATACACCTAGCTTTAACATGTTGTCAAAGTTTGCATGTGTTAGATTTCTCAATGGGAGCGGATATTGCTTGTGTATAATTAAGAGCTTAGTGGAGCTCTTTAAGTAAACACCGATTACATAGTGGCAGAAAGGTAGCGAACGAAGCGGAACTTTTTTGTTGGGTGCAGCCTTCCTTGTTAAGACATCGAAAATATACAATTTCTGATAACATTGTTGTAAGGGAAGGATGGGAAAGGTTGCTTGTTAGTTGTTTTTTTATTGGTCGCCAGCTTCCTGGTAACAGCAAGCTACGTGTCACTCCTTGCCAACAGATCTCTCCCAACATTTGAAACTTTTGGGGGAAAGGTTGGGGCACTTAAATTTCATGGTGGGGGGCGGGGGGATGGAACGGGATACTGGTTAAAGTATGCTATATATTTTCTAAATAAATTAGCTATTTTTCTATTTCGTTTGTGGGCTGTGTACGTGTTACGAAAGAGTGGGAAAATGCCCCCCCCCCTCCCTCCCCAAGAGATGTCTGAAAGAACCGCAACATACCAGTAACGCAATGCCAGAAAGACAGAAACAATATTTACCAACCGATAACGTTGTGTTGACAATCACTGGAACTTTACCACCAGCCAGCAACTGCCCACTACTCAAACACTCGGGTGATTGGCCAGAGTCAAGGGTTCTGCCCGTCTTATCTAACTGGGGAGGCTCGCTAACCAGGCTCAAGCAAGACAGAACCGTGCAGGTTGTAACTTCACCCATTTTGGGACGGGCAGGTCTAGAGCCCATGTTTCAAACACTTAATTTTTTTTTCACTCTACTTCTAAACCACGCCATATCCCTGAAGACATGCTTATCTGGTTCAATTAAAAATTCTATCGCGCATCCCCCCCCCCCCTCAGGTAGCTCTGCTCCAGACACTTTCATTATTCATAAAGCACCTGTACGATTGTTTACCGTGGAGTCACTAGGTCAGGTGTCACCCGGTGTGTGAACTAAGGGTGTCACCCGGTGCTTTAACTGAAGGTGTCGCTCGGTGCGTTAACTGAAGGTGTCACCCGGTGCGTTAACTGAAGGTGTCACCCGGTGCGTTAACTGAAGGTGTCACCCGGTGCGTTAACTTAGGGTGTGAGCTGTCAACCCAGTCCCTCTTTAAAAATGTGCATTATTTGTTTGACTTCTCCTCTCTATTCTGCTATTTTTACTTTCCTGTGTAAAGGGTATCGTGCACAAAAATCATAAAATTTTGACAGCTTTCACCCTTTTACTCCTAAGTCTTTCATATTTATCGGGCAAAACTTTTAAGTCCAGATTTATCAAAATCTCTGCGTTTTATGCGTCATCCAGTCGAAAATACCGGGCTGTACAAATCTGCCTGTGTGTGTGTGTGTGTGTCTGTGTGTATGTGTGTGTGTCTGTGTGTGTGTGTCTGTGTGTGTCTGTGTTTGTGTGTCTGTGTGTCTGTGTGTGTGTCTGTGTGTGTGTGTCTGTGTGTCTGTGTGTCTGTGTGTGTGTCTGTGTGTGTGTCTGTTTGTGTGTCTGTGTGTGGCTACAGCCATTGTTTAACACTAACCCCAAACAGAGGCGCCCGGGGCGGACTATCAGTTTTGCGCCCCCACCCTCCTATTTTTATGAAGTTATTCCTGTCTGTGAAAAAAGTGCCCCCCCCCCCCCACCGTAGTTGGAAAGGTTTTTGGCACTTCTTACAAGTTAACTTTTTTTTAATTTCGGTGCCACAAAATTGATAGGCTATAAAAACAGAAAAATCAGTATGTAAAGCCTTATATTCGTTTATTTTCGTAAGTTCGACAGTGTATAATTCTATACTTTAGCTTAAAATGAGCTTTCAAATTAATTTCTCTACCCCTTTTGGCGCCCCCTTAAAGTCGTCGCACGGGCAGCCGCCCCACCCGCCCTCCCCATAACAATAACCAAATCGATACTTTAATGCAGTATGGAATCTATCACGTGGTCAGTGATGCAGATATTTTTTCCAGGGAGTGCTTAAATATTTCTTTATAATAAATTCTATTTATATAGTAGACAATAGACGTGAGCAACTCCCCCCCCCCCTCCCACACCCACCCACCCCGTTCCTAAAAAGATGCCTTGAACAGAAAACCTACCCACACTGCCATCCTATCTCCACCAGAACTTACCGCATTAAAAAATGTGTCTCGGTAAAGCCCCTCCCACTACAGTTCACACAGGTAGACAAACTTAACCCCACCCAACAGGTAGGTAAGTCTGCTGGGCAGGACTGGTGCGACCGGTTATCTGACAAATCCTGCACGGTTGGCGGACCTACTAGAAGAGACCGTGAAGCGCCGCGTTAGTCTATGACGCTCTGTGGTGTGGGGATGGGGAGAAAAGTGGGCGGAGTCGAAAACTTTATAAATTAGAAAACAGAAAACATACGCCTTTTGCGAAGGAGTTTCAAACAAGGTTTCTTTCAGATGTGCTTCTCCGGGGGCGGGGGTGGGAGATTTGAAACACCTCTTTGGACATTCTTTAAATTTTCAGGGTGGTCTGTGGGGGGAGGGAAGCCGGATACTGGTTAAAATGTATTTTTTTCTGTAGAATTTTTTTTTTAAATTCGTCCGGGGTAGTGGTGGTCGTGCACATAAGATTGGGGGGGGGGGGGGCATTGCCGAATAAAACAATTTCTAACAACACGGGAAAACCAAAGATTGTGTGAATAGAGAAAACCCAACATCCTCCTCCCACCACTGCACATCTACACACACACAGAACGACTTGTCTAAAAATAAATCAGGAAAAAAAACGCCTAGATTTCTCTTAGTTTTATTTTGGTGCTATCGCGGTAATAGCTTTATCTATGGTGCTGTTGAAGTAATACGGGTTTTTGACGTTCCTTTTGATGTCAAAAAACTGCGTCATGTTTGGCATGAGGATCTTGTAGATATCACTGCCGTACAGCTTGGCTGTCATAATACCAAGGCTTGACTGGTCAAATCTAAAAACACAAACATCAAGATTTGTGTTCAATTTACAAACAAATAAGATAAAGTATAAAGTATTACAAGTTATTTTTTAATCATTTTTTTTTAAATTCAAGGGAAAAGTTTCACCAACGCATAAAAAAGAATAATTTACCTTTGACATTTGTAATCTTCTCAGAGAAAGTTGTATCTTACCTGTAATATTTGTAGTCTTCTCAGAGACAAGAAGTATCTTACCTGTGGTCATCTCTGAGACAGGTTTATCTTACCTTTGACATTTGTAGCTTTCTCAGAGACAGGTATATTTTACTTGTTAAAAGCTCTGAGACAGCAGTATGTTACCTGTGATCGTCTCTGAGACAAGTGTTTCTTACCTGTGGTCATCTCTGAGACAGTTGTATCTTACCTGTGGTCATCTCTGAGACAGTTGTATCTTACCTGTGATCGTCTCTGAGACACGTGTATCTTACCTGTGGTCATCTCTGAGACAGTTGTATCTTACCTGTGATCGTCTCTGAGACAGTTGTATCTTACCTGTGGTCATCTCTGAGACAGTTGTATCTTACCTGTGATCGTCTCTGAGACACGTGTATCTTACCTGTGGTCATCTCTGAGACAGTTGTATCTTACCTGTGGTCATCTCTGAGACAGGTGTATCTTACCTGTGGTCATCTCTGAAACAGTTGTATCTTACCTGTGGTCATCTCTGAGACAGGTGTATCTTACCTGTGGTCATCTCTGAGAAAGTTGTATCTTACCTGTGGTCATCTCTGAGACAGGTGTATCTTACCTGTGGTCATCTCTGAGACAGGTGTATCTTACCTGTGGTCATCTCTGAGACAGGTGTATCTTACCTGTGGTCATCTCTGAGACAGGTGTATCTTACCTGTGGTCATCTCAGTGACAGGTGTATCTTACCTGTGACATTTATGGTCAGCAGGTGCCACGTTACAGTGTATGACCTGATACGGGTTGACTGGACACATGCACGTGGCCTCTAGAGCACACCTGGCCCACGGGTTTAAAATAGTTTTAATGATGAGATCATCTCGCTTGTATAAACCAGTGTAAGCGTTGATCTCAGGGAATGGAGCGAAGGCACAGACTGTCTCATGGCTGTATTCAAACATCTGGAACAGGGAAACGTGCCAAACAATGGAATCTAGGATATTTTCATTCAGATTTTAATGTCCTAACAGAGAACTAAGCACTGAGTGGTCGGGTGGTAGAGCTTACAGCCGTGAAACCGAAAGTCTCGTGTTTGGGTCCCGGGCTCGAATCTGTAAGACGTCCACCCAGTTCTGATAGGCAAATGACAAACGTTAAGGAAACTAAGCTGGTTTAACATAGTGCAGACCAGAGTATCTCCCCCAAATCCCGAGGATGTTGAAACAAAAAAATGAACTCTATACACCATCCTCCTCATGTGTATTTGACACCGCCGGGGAAAGGTGAACAAAGAAATGCGATGGTAATTATAAAAGTTCCCGAGTTTTATGCTTTTGTCTTCATTTCATAAAAGTTCTGCTTTATAGACATTTTGTATAAATAAAAGAGCTAAGAATTGCATTTTTATTAACTAATTTAAATAGGTGTCAGTTTGTATGCTGCGTCAAAAAATAGATTAAAAGAACATTTTAAAAATATACTGTTACCTATCTATTCAACATATTTGTAAATTAATTTCATTGCTTAAAGATAATACACTGATTACTTCTCTCATAGTGTGCACCGTGATTCTTGCAGAACTTGTGAATCTAGAAAGTTGAAGTCCGTATTTGTCGGCCCGTTTCATTACCACATCAATTTTCTTAGTCCACCGTATGGAAGCGTCCATGTATACCAACATCTTTCTCGCCTTCTCGATAACAGCCTTCGGGAAATTGAAGGAAAATAGTATTTGCAAGCTGGGAGTTATAATCTCTACTGCACATATTTAAAATAAAACTCTACATTTGTAACCCCCAATAAGAGAATCAGTAGGTAAATTATGGCGGATAAACCGTCTATAAATAGTACCCGTATGATGAGCGGCTTCCAGGAGTAGCAGTGCGTGTCTCTCACGTGTTTTGGGAAGTTTTCAAACGGAAATGTGACAACAAGACAGCGGCAATGGTGTTCAGTCTGCGAGTGCGTTCATTTGGTGCATGTAAGAATTTGAATTTGATACTCAAAATTTTTAAATATAAAAAGTGTATACATAGAAATGTGTTTATACATATATGCAGCGATTGCTGAGCCAATATAAATTGCATGATAAGCTAATCTCTATCTGGTACTTTTCTTTTTTTTCACATATTGCAAACAAATATTCAAATATATAGTATACTAGACGACCCGTGTTATCCAATGGTCATGCCAACATACAATGAGTTAAACTCTAAAACGTAGATTTTAATTCTCGGTGAAGAAAAAACACACAACTCACAATATTTCTTTGTTGTTTCGTCAGACCAATATCAACGAGAACAAATGTAAAATTCTCGACTTTTGGATAAACATTTGTGTGAAGGTTCTCAAACATGGCCTGCATTTCCTCATAGTGGTTGGACGAGCTAGCGGACAGGAATATGACGTCACTTTCTGGAATGTGGTCAACCATGACTGACAAAAGGTCACTTTGGTTTCGGTGTAGTGTAAGACTTCTTGAAGATAAGATGTTTTTTATTCTCTCTTTTGTATTGGTACTCAGAGGATTTGAGCAGTTCTGTGTACACGCTAAACGGAAATATTTCAAAAAACTAAAAAAAAAATAATTAAGACAGGGGCACAGAATAACACACAACTTTGTATAATTAAGAAACTTAAGCCTGGGGATACCAAATCTAGTGTAAACTTTCAGTGTACATATCTGTACAAATGTACTTAAACCTTTTTTTTAGGCAGAGTCTTACTTTTTAAAAGCCACTAATAGTTATAGTCAAAACCTAACATAAAATTCTAAAACACCACATTATACAATTGTTGCTGTCAATAAATCAACTCGCCTACCATAGTTGCTGCCGTCACAAGGATTCAAGAACTGTTGTTTGGGTGCATCGTTTTCCAACATAAGAATGGCATCTAATTGTTTCGATAACACCTGCGATTCGTCTTGTATTTCTATGGTTTTAAAAATGCAGCAATAAATAAACAAAATTTACAAAATTTAAACTCACGTTCACATTTAGGTCAACATACAGATAAGTACATTGTTTATTATATATATATATATATATATATATATATATATATATATATATATATATATATATATATATATATATATATATATATATATTTCAAAATTTAATGACCTAAACCAAAGCCTAGTCGTAGATCTATCATATCATGTGAAATTACAGCGTAGCCAACACAAAGGATCAAAACTCCTGCTGCAATATTCAGAACCAATCGGCTTCTTTTTATACCAAATGATGCACCTGTTTAATTGAAACAGCAGCAAAGAGTTAATTGTAAAACAAAACAAAAAGAAAAGAAAAATCAAATTCATACTGCTTGTATTATTTGTAAAAACATACATTTAAAAAGTTTCAGTCAAATAACAGATGACATTAAAAATGTGTAGAAAAATATTGTATACAAAAAAATGTGTAAATAAATATATCAGTTTCTTATTATTTTACATACATAATAATGTCAAATATATTTATAGTTAAACAGGCCTACACTGAAACACCAGCATTGCTCAAGGCCGTACAGAAATAATGACATGCTTTTATTGCCGATCGATTTTTTTACCTCACCTCTGACCTTTGTCACATGACCCATCGTCATAGCACTCAATATGATGTCACACTTCAGCCCATCCACGTCCCTCATTCCCCAATATCAATCATGTCTTTAATTTTAAACGCAATAGTGTGACCCCAGCTGCGCGAATGCGCGGCCGCGCAGTAGTTTTGAGCTGACACGCAGTGATTTTGTAAAATAAATATATCCTTGTATAATACGTTTTGAACAGCGCGCACAGAAAATACATTTTGCACACTAGTTTTTTCTCCTTAGAGGGAATATTGGAAGTCACATCTGGTCATTTCCACATTACACTTCCTCTTCGCCACAGTCACATAAGTAAAAACATTCCTTCATCTAGTAGAGTGACGTCATTTATGGACTACCCCCTCCCCCCCATACCCCATTCCCCCCTTTCGTATAATTTAGTAATTGTTTTAAAAGACTGCAACTTATTTAATCAAATACCCCCTCCCCCCATCCCCCATTCCCCCTTTTCGTATAATTTAGTAATTGTTTTAAAAGACTGTAATATATTTAATCATATAATTCCACGGATATGGAGAGACATACATGTACTATGCATTGACATCATGTATGTGTGTGCTACATTTAGGTAACTCTTCGCACTTTACCCTAACTAGTGACCAGCGTTTATTTCAGACATTTTTTTCCGGGGGGGGGGGGGGGTTCTAAAAACCTGCCGACTGGTAAAATCATATTTCTTATTTAAATTATATATAATTTCATTTCCTATCCCACTCCCTTCCGGCAAAAGCATGGGAAAAAAATCTACTGCGAGTCGCCAGTTTGATGTAAATGACTCGAATAGAATGTTATAGTTTTAAACAGCAGAAAAGTAACTGTAGAAAAAGTATAGAATACTTACAGCTGATTTTCGCCATTTTAAGTCAAATCTTAGAAGTAGTAGATCTAGGTGTAAATAAAAACTGCGATTAAATCTGTACTTGTACGTTGTGCACAGTTCTCTCAACACAACATAGTCTCCCAGCCATCTAAACCTCTTTTGGCCTAGATCTGTATTCGTTTGTGTTTTGTTACGCAATGCTAAATAGTTAGATTACATTGTAAAATTGCATGGCACTGTTATGTTTATAAAACGTTCTATTTTAAAATGTTACACAATTATCGACTCACATTTACAGTGGTGCGGCAATTGCTGGTCTTTTTTTTTTTTTCAATTTGTTTATCAATTAGATATTTGAACCGGCAGTCAAGTCCGTAGTCCGCCTTTTTAGCACTTGGCCTCCATGCTAAACTTGGTGGCTGCGTGCAGCGATTAGACTGGTGTGCTGTAACCTAATGCGTCAAACTAGAAACCTCTACACCCCCCCCCCCCCACGCTACACACGTCAAGCAGTCCTAGCAGAGATAAAAAAAATTAAAACTTAATCCAAGAAATATTTTACCAGAACATTATTAAATTTATATTATTATCATTTTGCTGTGTTTCATGCAACATTCAAAGGGCTGGGTCAAAAAAATGAAACAAATAAAAAACCTTAATAATATCTAGATTCAAATGCTTTTAACGATCTAATATATAAAGCTGAAACGGATTCTGTGGCTCTGTATGTATGTGGCGGCGGACGGAACTCGACATGATCGCTATAGTGTAATACACTTAAAGTGTTTATTATCTAAATTAATAATTTAAAAACTTATTACATAACGGTATGTAAAACAAATTTCATTTCCTAAACGTATACTTTTAATCAAAGTCATGTGGAATAAACAAAGTAAATGAATATGTATCATCCTTAAAAATTAAAAAGTGTACAATTTACTTCACTTAGTTTCTTTATGTCCAATTACTTTTCTTGCCAATGACTTCCCTTGATAGATCAAACAAAAAAATTACTTCTCTTTAAAAAAGTGGAATCCAGGGCGTCCTCCGGCACTCCCACATGGTGCTATTGGCCTTTCCGTGAGCGCTATGGCAACTACGTTCATTTTAAACAGTGCGATAGACTATAGATAAGATTGGGTATTATAGTCATTTACTAAGTTGAATCAGGTAGTTCCGCCGGCGCCCCGGCAGGGTGCGATTTCGCGCCCCGGGCCATACTGTGAGCACTATGCTTTTATGCAATTGCGTTGGTGTTTGCATTTTTGTTTGTGTTTAAGTTGGTGTTTGTTTTTGCTTTTGTGTTTGCGGTTATGTTTGTGCTTATGTTTGTGTTTTTGCTTGCGTTCGCTTATGTTTTTGCGTTTGTTTTTGTGTTTGTGGTTGCGTTTGTTGTTGGGTTTTTTCGTTTGTGTTTGTGTTTGTTTTGTGTTTATGCTTATGGTTATGTTTGTGTTTGCGTTTATATTTGTGTTTTCCTTTTTGTTTGCTTTTATGTCTTGGTTGTTTGTGGTGAAGGTTAATTTGAAAAGTAATATATTTCCAAACCGAGCACTGCCGGGTATATGCTGCTTAATAAACACACATGTCGTGGTCCTTTACAGATTGGTTTTTCCCAGAAGCCAGAGCAGGGCTTGCCGGGTCGGCTAGTATAAAAATAAAATACACTTTCTAGATCTACCTTCTCGACGACAGAGTAGCCTACAGCAACGTGAAAAAATTCGATATCTACGTTTTTACTCATTCTTGAATCGGAAAATACCAGTCTTGCAATCTAGTCCCCTCATGAAAGTTACAAGCACCCCCTCCCCCGCCCCGAAGAAATATGTCTGGAAGAAACATGTGTCTGTATGTCTCTGTATTGTATCTGTGTGTTAACATGATAACTTGAGTATTGTTCCCGAGGAGGGGGGGGGGCAGGACGAGAGTAGCGCTTTTTTGTTTGTGAATTGAATTACTTATTCCTGTGAAGCCTCATAGAGGTAAAGACTGAAACTACACCTCTCCACCGGACTTTGTTTTAGGCAGCTCTCTTTAGTTGTGCGCACCTAAGCCCAACAGCCTTTGCTTCTACTTCTACTTTCCTTCTCCAAGATTGCTTTGGCCGGACTACTTTTGTTTTCACTTGGGCGTTCCAGTACTACGTTTGCCTTGCGATTTTGAAATCTTCTCTTATCAAGGCAGTGCCCTATCCATCCCGAATAGCAGGCTTTAATATCCCTGTCAATCGCTCGTTGCTTTGTAGTTTGCCATAAGTCTTCATTCATTATTCTTGTCAGTCGGTTGTTTATTTTGTTTGTTGTTGTTTTTTTTTGTTGTTGTTTTTGTTGTTGTTGTTGTTGTTGTTTTTTTTTTGTTTTTTTTTTTAATTAGTTTTAAACACGTTCTTACAGGTTCCATTTGAAGCGGGAATTTTTTTTTAACTCTACGTAACAGACTGTACTTTTGTATATTGAGTTTGTACTGAATCGTGTGTGACATTTGAATACCTGGCCAAAGGAAGTGAATGCTGTGCGATCAATCATTGTATTTTCAAGCTGTTTGGATCTGAGAGTGTATAATAATATAACCTGAAGGAATGAGAGGCGCAGGAGGCCACTTAGAGAATGCAGGGGGGGGAGCTTTGTGCCTGTATAGTACAATGTAGGCCATCACTATGTCAGTCCATTTGTGAATTATTCTTATAGTTTACCAACTATGGATATATTATTTGTATCAACTTCAAGGTGTATACAAATTTGAAATAAATTTATAAAGTTAAACAAAGAACTGTTACTGTCACGTTGATATCACAAACACACAAAACCAGTGTTACCAACCATTAAACACTGTTACACTTCACTTTTCAGAAACTATTAACTTGAACCTGCATATTTCTTTTGTTCTGTTAATGTGGCTGTGGGTGGGTAACCATAACAAGAAGCGTGGGTCACTATATTATCTCTTGGAAACCTTCACTAATATTTGGGAAGAGACCCAAGCTTTTCTTTTTGGTTATTTGAATAGTAGAGTATTATTAAATATTTAAAGAAAATAATTTATTATCTCCTTTTTAGTGCATTATTAAATAAAAGCGTGTTATTTAAACGTTTTAATTCATTTTTTTTCAGAACTTTAAAATTTTTAATAGAGTTTCATGACTAAAAACTACTGCACACCAAATCAACATGATAATGCGAGTATAATAATGCGGAATAGTAGTAGGGAACCCTACTAATTTCTGAAAATTATAGTTAGTTCATGAGATAATTATTTAGTGATCCAATTAAGTCAAATTTGATGTCAGATTGCAGTGTTGTTGGGTCTTGACCCAAGTGCCAAGTTTGAAGTGAATCGGTCAGTTTGAAGTGCTCGAAATTTCGCTCTGAAGTTTTAATCTATGACAAATAAAAAGCAAGTTAAATAAAAGCTTTGGAAAAAAAGCGTTTCTGTAGCCCTGAAACTGCTATACTCTTACTGTAATATAAGAATGTACGCTAAAGTTTAGGGGCGATCACTCTCGCTTCATAACTTTCTCGTATAGAGAATATAAAGAAAATATTTAAATCTGGCACAAAAATCACATGCAATGTTGAAAGTTTTCACCGTTTTACTTCTCAGTACTTCATCATGTACGGAGTATAGGCGAATTATTTTAATCGGGCTAAAATTCTAAATCTAGAGGTATCAAAATCTCGGCGTTCTACGCTTCATCAAGTGGAAAAAAACTGGACTTTGCAATTCTGTCTGTGTGGATGTCTGTCGTTCATGCTTTTATACTAGACGTATTATTACTCCATTTTTTTTAGTTAATTAATTGCAAATTTTAGGTATATGATTCACTGATAAACACATCTTAGATTAATAACCAAGGCCTAGTAAACTGATAGAATGCTATGTTTTGACAACCAAGATTATTTGTGGATTTTTATACGATTTTTAAAAAAATATAAAAACACATGATTTTTTTTTTACTTGAGAAAAAAAAATTAAACCTAAATTTTAAAAAACGTTAACATCTATGTTGATACTGGCTTCTGCTCCAGAATATCAAGTCTGCCACTTCTTTCTAAAATCATCCTCCCCAAAGTGCTGAAAATATCGGAGCTGTTTTTGATGGCGTTGGGGGACTCTAGACTCGACACTGGTGTAGGATGTGTAAAATGTAAGGCTAGTCCCTTTTCCCAAAACTTCTCATCAGGACCTGCGTTCCATATGGGATGGCACTTTCCTTTAAAGCAAATTACCTAAAACGAAACAAATTATTTCTGAGAGAGAAACGTAAATGTACATATATTAACTAATGTAAGTATGGAGCTCAGAATGTTTCTATCTACAAAGTTGTATTGAATAAATCACATAAGATACAATGGAGATATGAATTAAGTACAAACTTGTAAATAATCGTCAATGAGTAGCTGATTTGGTTGCTGCTCATATGCTTTGTATGACATCATGATGGCATTTAGAAGCCACTTATCCCCCATATAGTATCTTTAAAAAAATAAAACAATTTAGTTATACAATGTGTATCTTAGTGCAGCGAATATTTCAACCGCTTAAAAATTCTATTATTTTTCCAAACAGTCTATTTTCAAACGATTCCATTTGTTTATGTATAAATAATAATAAATAATCTCTTTTTATAGTTTCCTTACACGTGTAAGTAATTAAAATTTTCTATTATTTTCAATTATACAGGTTTAATACACACGTAAACAATTAGAATTTCTATGATCCAGTTTTCATACACATGTAAATAACTACAATCTCTGTTTTATACAGTTTTTATTCTTATAAAAATATATAATATTGTTTATATAATACTGTTTATTTATACATGTAAATAATTATAATCTCTGTTATACAGTTTCCTCACGCATGTCAATAATAAAGCTATACAGATTCCGTACACACTCCACAAGTACCTGTAGAACTTCAAATGATTCTGTAGGTACATGTTGCCAGCTTTAGCCAGCAAGACGCCCGTGTTCAGACCAGCGGGGTAGACGCCATATTGTGGCCAGTCGATGCTGGACACCGCAGGGTACCAGCGGAGATGCTCTGGTATCTTCTTGACCCATATGACGTCACGGTCCTGTTCGACAAAAGTTAAAAAAAAATAGGCATCTTTCCAGGCCTGACAGTAGAGGTTTTTTTTTGTGAACACGGCATAATAAACGGATACTGTGGTCAGCACTTTCCGAGCTGTCTTTACTTTCCCTGACTTAATATCATGTACCCATCAGAGCTGAGCGCACTCTAGCACTGTTAGGCAAGTGATGTATGCTGATAGATATCTGCTAGGCAAGTGATGTATGCAATAGCCATCTGCTAAACAAATGGTGTATGCTAATAGCTACCTGGTATATGCCACCGTACTTATATAAGATCAAAGCTCTCAGTATATCAGACTGGTGTGAAGCCCCATTGATTACTTGCTGGTAGATCGTCTCCGTTTTATCAATCTGTAATTAAATAAACCGGGAGTGATCTCTCCTAAACTTTCTCGAATATTTTTATATAACTTGAAATATAGACATGATTTTTAATTTCTTAAACTTTTAAAAATAGAATAGAATCTCATAGAAAAAAGAATTGCGCACCAAGCGAACGCCAAAATAAAAATGTGCATAATAGTGCGCAATATTATTAGTACTTTATAAATTTACATGCGTTTTTTGAGAAATCGAAAATAGCGTAAATTAGTACTTCCGGTCAACGGAAATTACTCAAAATTTGACAGAAGGCAGAGGATTAAACCTTTTACTTACATGTGAAATTTTATTTATCTATCTGAAATAGTACTCAAGTTATAGGCTTTTGAAAAATTCAAAGTAGAAAAAGTACCACTTCCGGTTATCGGAAATCACTCAAAAGTTGATCAGGATCTACGATTTTGATAAAATACTTACATATGAAATTTCATCAACCTAGCTGTACGGTACTCAAGTTATCGTGTTTACACACAGACAGACAGACAGACAGACACACAGACATACGGACAAGATTGCAAAATTATGTTTTTCCGTATCAGTGAGGTGTAAAACGTCGAGATTTGTAAAAATCTCGATTTTTTTTTTTTTTTTTTTTTTTGCACGATTACAAGACTTTTTCTATACGAGAAAGTAAAAAACTGATAGTCATTCAAGTGAACCGTTATTTATTCATATAAGTGCGTATAAAAAGAATAAATTGACAATCTTCATTGGCAAAACAATAGCAGTGAGTATTACACAAAGACACTCCCACTTGACATAAGAAACAAGTATTGACTGACCTTAACAAAGACGACATTTTCTCCGTCTAGTTCATCCCACCAAGGCCCGTGCGGCTTTTGGTCTCCGTGTATGTAGACCGTGTGTACCCCAGCGACGTGGAGGGCGGACATAACACTCAGAAAGTGGAGGAACTCGAACGGATCAGACTTGTGTTGTATCCACACGAGATGTGAGATCAGTGGAATTAGGTCCTGGACGTCGGTGGACGGCTCAACAAATTGGCGTTCACGTTTTCCGTAGGTCAGCCATCTTGCAAGCTCCGCAAAATTTGATGAAACGTTCCAAATATCTTTTGGCTGCAGGGAGTACCAGACCACGGCGCATGGTTGAACATCTTTAAGATCTTTGTATCCCAGGGGAAATGGCAGTGCATTCAATTCATCTAAACTAAAACAGTTGTTTTTTGTATTTAAAATATCTTTAAGCTTTGTTTCCATGGTTGTTGTGGGAAAACCCTCTCTGCTAAAAATAACTCCTTGTGTAACGTCCTCGCATATTTCGTTTTTCTTAAAGCTGTAATAAAATGATACATTTTCCACCTCTATTGGGATCCCTGTTAAAATCGTTCTCTCTCCAACATAAACGCCACCACTAACAGAAAGTTTGTCTAAAATAAATCGTAAAACCTCCTCACTTCCACAAGTAAAATTTCCTTTTGTTTCTTTCAGGACAAGATTTGGTACAGACTGCCTCAGCTCCTCAAACCACAAGTGGTACCAGTCCGGGTCAATGTACGGGATTGTTTGGTAATAAAATAAAATTTTCTGTGGTTTTAAAATTCTGACAACACTTAAAATACTGAGATAATCCTCAAATTTAAAAATCTTCTGACCACACCAGAAATAATGAACAACATTGTGGACCTCTCCTGGAGCTATAGAACGATCTTCAACACCCGGCCAAAACTCCTGACTGTAATAGTCTCTAAACAAATGCATGTTCGTAGTTTTGTTGTCATGAACCATCCTTTCATTGTACTTTCTTTTGGAACTCACATAGCTAACTCCGGGCCAAGCTTTTCTAGAATGTTGTGTTGTGGTCATCTTGTCAGATCTAGATTGTTCTGTTGCGTTAATCTGTTGGCCTGATCTAATCACCTCGCCGGTGGTCAATGATTTAAGGTCAAGCACGGCAAACAGCACAAATAAAACACAAACAGACGATATGATAACCCACATTGTTTGATATTTCTTAATTATGGTTGATGCCATAAGTTATTGACGAGATTCCTCATATCTGTTGATTTAAGATAAAAGCTTATAAGAATAAACCGGGAGTGATCTCCCCTAAACTTTCTCGAATATTCTTACATAAAACAACATGGGATGGGAACTCGGTATATAGACATGATTTTAAATCCATTTTTTAAATACTAAAACTTTTTAAAATAGAATAAAATCTCGTGGAAAAAGAATTGCACACCAAGTGAACGTCAAATAAAATGTGCATAATAGTACGCAATATTATTAGTACTTTCAAAATTTACATTAGTTTTTTGAGAAATCGTAAAAAAAATTTGAGAAAGCGTAAATTACTACTTCCGGTCGACGGAAATCAAAATCGAAAGTTCGAGGGGGGTGCAAATCGAAAGTTTGAGGGGGGTGCAAATCGAAAACTGAAAGTTTGTCCCCAGGGAAGAGTCGCCACTCCTCTGGGGGGGGGTGACACCATTAAGTGCAACGGGTGACACCCGACCTCGCTACGCCACTGTTTCATATAGCTTTCGATATCTATGTCGATGTCGATGATGATGTTGAGGTTGGGGTTTTATTATTATGAAGATGAGGCTGTGATTTTATGACGAGGATGAGAGGTTGAGAGTCAAGGTCGAAGCTGAGACTGAGGTTGATGATGTTGATATTGGTGTTGATGTTGATGTTGATGTTGAGGTTGAGGTTGAGGTTGAGGTTGAGGTTGAGGTTGAGGTTGAGGTTGAGGTTGAGGTTGAGGTTGAGGTTGAGGCTAAGGTTAAGGTTAAGGTTAAGGTTAAGGTTGAGGTTGATGTTGATGTTGAGGTTGAGGTTGAGGTTGAGGTTGAGGTTGTGGTTGAGGTTGAGGCTAAGGTTAAAGTTAAGGTTAAGGTTGAGGTTGAGGTTGAGGTTGAGGTTGAGGTTGAGGTTCAACTACCCCACCCTATAAATTAGCTCGCTTTAAATTTTTCCTGGGCAATACCTCTCCGTTTGCAAACACATCATACCGATGCTAAAAGTACCCCTATCCCTTACTATATCCCTTACCCAATCCCTAACTTATCCTTAATATATACCTATCCGTTTCTCTATTTCTATATGACCGGGGTTAATTGACAGGAGGTGGGGGTGGGGGAGTTGGTAGTGCAGCAGTTTTGTTGGACGGGGGTAATGTAGCGTTTGGATATGTCGTAGACCATGTATACACTACGCCTTAACAATTAAACACGTATAATAACAATCATTACTTATAATAGAGTAAGTAAAACAAAATATAAGCCATAAAAACACAAAACTTACATAGTGCAAAACACGAACTTACATGAACGGGGTTAAATTTTTTTTCAAAAAGATAAACCAACGGTAACACATCTTTCAACAAGAGAAAGCAACGCTAAAACATTATCAACAAGATCAGCTAACCAGAGGCGTAGCGACCCTTCCCGGCGCCCGGGGACAAACTTTCAATTTGGTGTGGTCCCCCCCCCCCCCCCCCTCATCTATTTTTACTTGTATAGAGAAAGTCTTGCAATCGTGCAAAAAAAAATCGAGATTTTTGCAAATCTTGACGTTTTACACCGCCCTGAGGCGGAAAAACAAGAAGTTGCAATCACCATAACTTGAGTACCGTTACAGCTAGGTTGATGAAATTTCATATATAAGTATTATATCAAAATCGTAGATCCGTATCAACTTTTGAGCGATTTCCGATAACCGATATTCTACTTTGAATAGTACTTGAGTACTATTTCAAATAGATAAATAAAGTTTCACATAAAAGTAAAAGATCAAATTCTCTAACTTATATCAAATTGTGACTAATTTCCGTTGACCGGGAGAAGTAATTTACGCTATTTCCGATTTCTCAATAAAACGCATGTAAATTTATAAAGTATTAATAATACTCCGCACTATTATGCACATTTTATTTTGCGTTCACTTGGTGTGCAATTCTTTTTCCTTCGAGACTTTATTCTATTTTAAAAAGTTTAAGTATTTAAAATGGATTTAAAATCGTGTCTATATCCCGAGTTCCCATCCCCTGTTGTTTTATATAAGAATATTCGAGAAAGTTTAGGAGAGATCACTCCCGGTTTATTTTATTTATAATGAAAAACTGCAGTTAAAATGAGCTTTTAATTTTTTTCAACTCATTTTGGCGCCTCCTTGGTTCGGCGCCCGGGGACATATCTACCCCGCCCCCCCCCCTCCCCCCCCCCCCTCGCTACGCCTCTGAAGCTAACTCATCATTCAACCAACAAAGTATACTAACGCTAACATTATTCAAAAAGATAAACTAACGCTAACACATTATTAAAAAACTAATACTAACACGTTATTCGACAAGGTGAACTAACGCTAACACATTATTGAACTAGATAAATTAACACTAACACATTATTCCAACAAGATAAACTAACGCTAACACATTATTCAACAAGATAAACTAACGCTAACACATTATTCAACAAGATAAACTAACGCTAACACATTATTCAACAAGATAAACTAACGCTAACACATTATTCAAAAAGATAAACTAACGCTAACACATTATTCAAAAACTAATACTAACACGTTATTCAACACGGTGAACTAACGCTTACACATTATTCAACAAGATAAACTAACGCTAACACATTATTCAAAAAGATAAACTAACGCTAACACATTATTCAAAAACTAATACTAACACGTTATTCAACACGGTGAACTAACGCTAACACATTATTCAAAAATATAAACTAACGCTAACACATTATTCCAACAAGATGAACTAACGCTAACACATCATTCAACACGAGAAACCAATGATTTTAAAAAATTCAACAAGATGAACTAACGCTAACACATTATTCAAAAAGATAACTAAATCTAACACAGTATTTAAAGAGATTAACTAATACTAACACGTTATTCAACTAGATAAATTAACGCTTACACATCGTTCAACAAAATATACATAAGCTAACACTCTTTTTCAACGAAATGGCGTAACCGTGAAACGCACTCAGCCCACTTGTTGAACATAGCGACACAGCGTAATCGCCCCTACCACAACACCAGTCGGCGTATGATAGACACACTTAAGGACTAAACATAGTTTGTACAGACTCGTAGATTTTAGTTTAAAATTTTTTTAGCTCAAATAAAAAATTAAAGTGTTAGCTAAATTACTATTATATAAAACCAGAAGTCATTTTGCACTAATTACACAAATGTTAAAAAAAATATTCAATTATGGTTGAAAAATATGCTTTCTGGCAACAAAAAATTTGAATCATTTGGAGCCACCTTTTCAAGCCCATTGTGAACAAACCATTTACATAACAAAAGGTGTAATCTATAACAACAACAAAGAAACAAAAATGCTAAAATTAAGTTTACTATTTTTATTTTTCATCCCATCAAAAGTAGAATCGTAAATTCATGTAACCCGTTTTTCCAACATTTCACATATTTTGGTTATGGGGCAGGAATCCTAAAATTTTCATATCAGCTAACATGAGGAGATACTGGTCTACTGAACTGTAAGTAATGTCTTATGGGAATTTGATTTGTAACAAATGGCACATTCTTGTCCAACATAATGCGTACACAATCCTTTAAGCATATATTGTTATTTACTCTCGAGAACCCAATCACATCTTCCCACCATCTCCACTACCCCCCCCCCCCCTTTAATCGCAAATGTATCAGAACAGGTATTTTTTTTTTAGTAGGCTTATGTACAACACTCCTTAATTATTTTTTTTTGACAAAATGCTATGATGTAATCATCGTAATAAATAAAAGACCGGGAGATCTCTCTCCCTCTCTCCATCTGTCTCACTCTCTCTCTCTCTCTCTCTCTGTTCATCTCTCTCCATCTCTCCATCTCTATCAATCTATCTTTCCTTTTTGTGTACGAGGCTATGAGATTAGCATCTAATATGTACAGGACGTAATGCAACTGCCTTTTGTTGAGAGCAATATGTTGGTTGTATTGAATGGTATAAACTTAATGCTATTTAATCAAATAAAGTACATATTCGAATGTAGAAACACATTATGCAACCGGAGAAGTAATCCTCATTATTCATCATTATTGGAAATTGTCTACAAAGCAAACAGGCTGTTCATGAGTTATCGATTAAAAAGTTTACTTCTTTATATTTATGTTATAAAGTAGTAAACTTTTAAAGATTGGAAGATCTGTTATAAATATATATAGTTATTATTATATTTCCGCTACAGCTTTAACTATAGGATACATTTATTTTTTATTCCTTTTAGCGAACAACCATATTTTTAAAAAATTCACTATTAACAGATCTTTCAATTCGAGAAAATGAAGAAATTGATTAGCGCTAGACCAATAGTTATATTTTGTCGGATTTTAACTGAGTTATTTAAGGAACTGAATCAGAATGGGCATTTGATAAAATGTTTTGCTGGGGTTTTTTTTTCATATTGGTAGTTTCTCTGATATTGCAGCAACTCTAGTTTTTAAAATCGGCCAAAAAATAATTGTATTTAATAATTTATTGAGAGGGGATAGTAAAGGGAGACAAGCTTTCTTTTTATCATCAGGTTATATTTGTTTTAGTTACCTCTCTTCAGTTGTTTGGCTGTGATGGTAGCAGACATTTGTGAATCGAAATATAAGTAAATTGCGGGAAATAGATTGCTTCGTGAAATTAGCTTTTGCAGAAAAAATGTAATAACTTTTAAATAGTATGTCTCTAAAACAACAGTGTTCAAGAAACTGTTTATTTCAGAAAAAGAAATTAGCGCACTTAATTTCAGAACCACTGTTTTATATGTTTTACGGTAGTCTAAATGTAAACCAACAATGTTTGGAATCTTTGGCTTATGTGTTTAAAGTATCGAAAATAAGATTTTTGTTAATAAACTATAATTATATAAATATTTATTCTCTAATCTTATAGAATGTATGTCTAAAACTCGTTAAATTAATTAGATAATTAGATTATTAATGTAATACGTTCTTCCAGCATGTCAAAAGGGGAAAATCTGGCCAGAGATTAGTATATAATAGACTGAAGTAAAGGCTTTCCTAGACGCTCCAAGTTACCGATATAGATCTAGATTTCAAAGTTTGAATATAAAAAACAGAGTGACTGTATTTTTGTTTAAGAAATTTGTACCTTGGCTAGCTGTAGAAAATGACTCGTAAACATCTGATAGCAGTTGATGGAAGTGATGAAGCCCTGAAGGCTTTCAACTGTACGTATCATTTTAGTAATAGTAATAGTTTAAAATTAAAATTAATTAGGCCCTAGTTAGTTATTAACTTATGACTTAGATCTAATCTATATTAATTTAATAATTAGGCCTAGTTGTTAGTAGTTAAATCTAGAATCTAGATCTTCTAACTAAAGAGTAGAGTCTAGAGGTTTAGAGTAGAGTAGTAATCTATATCAGATTTTCATTATATTATTTATATTATGTACTACTCCTAGGCCTAGATTTAGAGTAAAAGATCGTAGATCTAGATCTATAGAGTATAGATCTAGATACTATTAGTAGGGATTTTGGTAAAAAAGCACTAATCATCATATAAAAATAAAAATTACATATTCTTGTAGAGCTCAACAAAATGAAAACAAAACAAAAAAGATTTTTTGTCTAGCTCAAATAGTTTTTTTTTTGTGAGGGGTGGAATCCCCTTGTTTTTGCATTGGCCAATTGTGACAAGTCATGGTATACCTGAATAAATTGAGCATAGTTAATTTAATTGCAGTTGTATTTTGTTCATATTTGCAGAGTTTAGCTAGAATGATATATAGAACTTGTAAATGCTGTTGAAATGAATAAAAATAATACAGAACTTATATTTTTGTGTTGGCTTCCTCCCATAACCCCAAAAAACTGTGTGCTGCGCAAATATGAAAATGTTTCTAAAGCCATATTTTATATAAATACAGCAAATGAAAGAACTACAAAGTTTGAAATCTAAAGTAAATGACTTGAACACTGTTATGTGCATATAATATTATAATTGCCTCATTATTTTGGGCAGATGAAGTAGAGTCCATCTTTAAGCCATTTTGTTATAAAACTGCTGCGCAAATATGAAAATGTTTCTAAAGCAATAATTTATATAAATACAGTGAATGTAAGAGCTACATAGTCAGAAATCTAAATGACTTGAACACTGTAATGTGTATATAACTGCCTTGTTATTTTGGGCAGGTGAAGTAGAGCCCATATAAGCCATTTTGTAATAATTTAAATGAAATTATCAGATCAATGTTTTTATGTGTGAATTGTGTATGGATTCTGATTTTCAGCATATAACTATATCTAAGGGTAAGTAGAACTTGAATACTTAAAATTACAGTTAGCACTATGCTAGTGTATAGCAACAGACAGGTAACCTAGATCTAGAATCTAGGTCTGATTCTTGTCAGTCTAACTCTGACAAAATTGGATTTTAGGAAAAACATTCTACAAAACTAGAACTAGAGCTTAAAAAATTAAAGATGGGTGTGTAAATATATTATGAAATAAAAAATTAGGAGATGTGTTTGCACATTTCATAAGAATGCTGTTGTTAGTTAATCAAACTTAAAGGCCGGAAGATCGGGATGAAAAAATATAACAATGGTGGCAACGCGACCTACATACAGTGACCACCTCTAAACGAGTATATCTAATGTCAGAGTCAAAATATCCAAAAACAAATATCATTTCCACATATATAAGATATGTCTGCTCAGTAATCTTCACTCATCTAGAATAACCTTTTAAAAAATCGTGATTCCAACGTATTTGAAACTAGCCTTCATACAGGGGGAAGACCAAGGCAGAGACAGCGTGCAATCAGATCGCTAAGCCATCAAAACAATGGGAAAACCATTCTACTTTTCATTTAACATTAGGAAATGACCTTTTAAACTTAATTAATTACCATAAATTAATAACTTATTAGTATGCAAAACCAAATCTCGTGCGCCCGGTATCAGAAAGTAATGGGCGATTTCGGGTCATGTTTTTACCGCGATCTCGGCCGATACCGACAACCCTAACTATATACTAGATACTATATAGTATATAGTATAAGTATAGTAATAGTATAGTATATAGGCCTACTAATAATCTAAAAAAATCTAGATCTAGTGTAGGCTAGATCTTGTAGTAAATTACTAAGTAATATAACATAAAGTCAAGAAGATTAGGCTTAAGTCTAAAAGGTATCACGTTCACTCCTTACTAGAATAGTCATTTTTAGATTTATTAATTTGTAGACAGTAGCTATCTAGTTAAACTACAATATTCGAATATTTGGCATAACCATAAAAGTTATTAAAAGAGGCACAACTGATTTAATTAAAATTAGACCCTATGGATTAAAGTATTTCTTACAACATTTTTGAAAAATAATGCATCCTTATATATAAATAGGAGTTATAGGCATATATATTAAACTATAGGCCCCACTTAAGCCATTATGAGCATTTTAAAGTGATTTCTTGTACTTTGCTTGTTATGGCTGTTTGGTAAAGAAAAATCATCTGGTCAAATGAGACATGTCCACTCTAGCTGTAACAGTATTGATTGCATAACATTGTCAGTCATTGTCGCATAATGATTCAAAAGTAATATTAAAGTGTTTACAAAATAATGTCTCGGGACTAATTCTTAGATAAGACCCACTAATTTCATTCTTCTACCATCTTTTTCCTTTGTTTATTTAAAGTTAATTAGGCCTAATTCACTTTTTTTTCCTAGGGTTTCTGGATAATATGTACAGAAGTGGTGACACTGTCATTCTCGTCCATGTAGCTGAATACAATATTGATATTGGTTTACGTAAGTTATGTTTTGTAATATTGACTGTAATCTTTTGTCAACCTAAGGCAGGAACTTTCACAAATGTTGATGTTGATAAGAAGCCTTTAATTAAGAAGTCCTGTGTGTAGTGTAGTGTACTGAATGAATGAATAACATAAAAAAAAAAGTTGAAATCTGATAACTTGTGTTAGCAGCATTTTATAACTCCATTTTTCTCACATTTAACCCAGCAGTTTTTCATGCAATTGTTTGCTTATCCTTATAGCCACACCAATCTACCTTTTATGATGAATATGAGACGTTGTTTTAAATGTGTGTTGTACCGTACTTCATATTTTCCCCTAGCATAGTGATGTTTCAGCCTGTTTTTCCTGTTTTATTAGTATTTATAGTCTATACAAGTTGTATATGGTCGGTGGTTTTGTTTTCTAGCTGGACGCAATGTTGATGTAAATGCCATTTGTGCCGCTGTTAAAAAGAGGAATGATGAAATTGGCAATCTGACAGATGGTTTCATGAACGTACTAAGAGGAAAACATGTAAGCTGCTGAACTTTTCTTTCATATTTTTAAATCTTACTTCTCTATGCTTTTTACTTTTAAAACCATTGGCTTTAGTTTTTTTTTTTGTTTTTTAATTATGTATTTTACTTTTTTATTTAGATTACATCAAAGCTTTTGACATTGCAAGGTGATAAGCCAGGGGAGGTAATCACAAAGGCAGCCAGGGATGAATTAGCTGATTCCGTTGTCATGGGTACACGTGGACTGGGCACAATTCGACGCACCCTGCTAGGTAGTGTCAGTGAGTACGTGGTTCACCATGCTCACTGTCCAGTCACCATTGTACGTGCTGACCAGTAAACTCACCTGCCTACTTATGTCATTCATGTTTCTTATAGCCACTGTTACTTCGATCTTCCACTGAAATGTTTTAAAAACTTTTTGTTTGTTTTATTGCGCAAGAGTGTTGGTGGTAAAGTTTAATAGACTTTTGCTTGACTTGGAAAATAGATATTTCTATATCAGTTTGTTAAATTTTTCTGTGACTGTGTCAGCTCAAACACTGACTATACTCAGACACATTGTTGTGTTGGCTTGGTATTAGTTTCAGTATATTTTTATTACGTCTTTAAATGTTATCTGCATTTATTCTTGCATTTCTTTTTTACATTTAATTTTATTTACAATCTTGTACTTTATTGCATTTTCAAATGGTTTTCATATATCCGAGGACGATAGTATTTTGTTTTATTAAATTGTCATTGATCATTTAGCTAGCTTTGATATACCAGTTAGGTAATAAGTCTCTTGTTTACAATAATTTCTCATTAAGCATTTATCATTTTATGAATAAGTTTGTTTAAATTTTAACATGAGTATGTATCAAACTATTGTTGTGATGTTGTTTTGGATTGAGAATTAGTTATTATAAACCACAAACTAAAATCTAGGCATTGGATAGCCATATTAAGACAATTTTTAAACTAGTAACACATAAGTAGTCCATTTGATTGTACATTTTTACTACTTAAAACTATATTTGTATATTTAATCAGAATTGTGTTTGTATTTAGCAGTTCACATTTTTACAGCAGATGGCATTTATTAAGTCCAGTTGTATGGTGCTTTTGTTAACAGAATTTCCTTCAAATTGTAAACTGTCTTCAGCTTTTTGTGCAGTCATCTTCTGGTAAAGTCTTCTATGACTTGATTAAGTGCAGTTGGTGCCAGCCCTAGTCTGTATAGATCCACCCCTAGCAGCACATTTTTACACTATTTTTATATTTTTATAAAAAGAGAATTATTATAACTATCTGTGAATCTTACTACCACATATCATGTTTTATTTAAAGAACTGTAGATTTCTTGTACATAAGCAAAACATTCCATTTTGATTTAATTCTCCAAGTGTGATCTAGCGAGGTGTTCAGTTTTCTGTAGGTTACCATGATTTTTGTCCTACACACGTTTAGCATGTTTACAGTAGTTTTGTTTAGTCTAATCAAATGTACTTAGGACTTGCCATACCACTCAAACTATTCTATGTATAAGAGGGCCAGTGTGATATGTTGACTGTTGCTAAAACCAGGTACAAATTGTTTAGTTGATCGCACTGTGATTTCTTCCTCCACAACTTTTTGATAAATAAATCTATTAACATGTATCTCTTTGTGTTTGGTTTCTATTAGACGTCATGTTTGTTAGTTTGTTATTTAACCTGCAGTCTGACATGGATGTAGACAAGAACTTTCCTGGCCACTCAGTTTTGAGTTTGTCTCTCCCATTGGCCAGGGTGGTAGCCCATCTTTCTGGAATATTCTCCACTGAAGTCAACTGGCTTGTGTTGCCGGTCTAAAACAGGCGGCACAACCTAAAACTTAGTGCAAATAGCTGATCAAGAATTGATCAAGTAACATGTCACCTCGGAAAACTTGTTTTACAACTTTATTTTTTTAAGCACCTTATAATGAAAAACACATGTTATGTTAGATATTTTTGTAGTTAACATCCTGCAAACTGGTTACAAACTAGGGAGTTTGAAAAACGTGGGTGGGTTGTATACTATAAAGCTGCTGAACATGTGTTTACTAGGGTCATATAGCTGTATGTGTTCATCGTGTTGGTGAGAAGCACAGACCTACTTGCATTCCACTGATGAATAAGAATATCATTGGCTTCAAGTAAAGAAATCTCAACGTTATGGCCATCATTTTCCCCCCGCCTAAACTATGGTCCAAATCACAGCGATAAAAGGTAATGACGTCAGCACACGTCAGGTCGCCAAGGTGACACCGTTGGCAGGTTAGGGCGTCTGTCTCGGTTCACTGATTTCTGATGAGGTACAAACCCTACAGGCTAACAGCCTTTTCATACCCGACCGTGTTTTTGGCACGTTCGTTTTCTTATTGTCAGCTAGTCGTAAACAAAAGTCACATGATTTCCGTTTTTTTTTTTCAAGAAGGGATCATGATAAAAGTAGAACGCTTAGACTAAAGAAAAAAAAACAACTTTAAAATCTGTAGGCCTGTATATATTTACCTCAAGAAATGACCAGGACTATATAACACGTTGGTCAGCTGATTATTTGGTTGCCTGAAGTAGCGCTTACAGCAGGCCCTACTAGCAGAGTTTCTTCCAGGCATCTCTTCGGGGGGGGGGGGTGGGGGGGGGCTAAGCCCCCTCCCCGAAATTTTTTTATCGCCCCCCCCCCGAACGAAATGAAATTTATATAGAAAATATATACTTTTAACAGTGTCCGCCCCCCCCCCCCCCCCCGAAGAAAGTTTACCCCCCCCCCCCCCGGAGAAAAAAGTCTGGAAGAAACACTGCCTACTAGTACACGGCAACATTCCGGGCAACACGAGCTTACATCAGTAAACTTGTGATCCAGCCTGGGTTAAATATTTATATGATCACCACCACCATGTCTCTATTCCAAAGTCTCACCACCATCCCACTTGCCCCGAATCTAATGTATCACCCCACTTGCCCCAAACCCTATGTATCACCACCACCCCACTTGCCCCGAATCTAATGTATCACCCCACTTGCCCCAAACCTTATGTATCACCACCAACCCGCTTGCCCTAAACCTTATGTATCACCAACAACCCACTTGCCCCAAACCTTATGTATCACCACCACCCCTCATGCCCCAAACCTAATGTATCACCACAACCCCACTTACCCCAAATCTAATGTATTAACCACTATTGCCCCAAATCTAATGTATCACCACCAACCCACTTGCCCCAAATGATCACCACCACCATGTCTCTATTCCAAAGTCTCACCACCACCCCACTTGCCCCGAATCTAATGTATCACCCCACTTGCCCCAAACCTTATGTATCACCACAACCCCACTTGCCCCAAACCTTATGTATCACCAACAACCCACTTGCCCCAAACCTTATGTATCACCACCAACCCACTTGCCCCAAACCTAATGTATCACCACCAACCCACTTGCCCCGAACCTAATGTATCACCACAACCCCACTTACCCCAAATCTAATGTATCACCCCACTTGCCCCAAACCTTATGTATCACCACCAACCCACTTGCCCCAAACCTTATGTATCACCACCAACCCACTTGCCCCGAATCTCATGTATCACCACCAACCCACTTGCCCCAAATCTAATGTATCACCACCACCCCACTTGCCCCACACCTTATGTATCACCACCAACCCACTTGCCCCAAATCTAATGTATCACCACCACCCCACTTGCCCCACACCTTATGTATCACCACCAACCCACTTGCCCCAAATCTAATGTATCACCACCAACCCACTTGCCCCGAACCTTATATATCACCAACAACCCACTTGCCCCAAACCTATGTATCACCACCACCCCACTCGCCCCAAATCTATCACCACCACCCCACTTGCCCTGAACCTTATGTATCACCACCACCCCACTTGCCCCTGAACCTTATGTATCACCACCACCCCACTTGCCCCAAATCTATCACCACCACCCTACATGTATCACCTCCTATAAAACGTGTGTACGTGATATAAAAGTGTCGAGTCAGCCGATCCAACGTTAATCTCAACAACAGATGTGTTAAGACCCTCAACGACGATCATAAATGTATTAAGTTTTAAATATTGCAGTTTCTGTTGTAAAAATTGTATTTTGTAATAATCACTCCTGATTTTAACCGATTATTTTCTTTTAAATTTATGCATAAATTATTGCCGTTGCACTTATTAATTTCCTTATAGCTTTTAAAAAAATCATTCGAGTTTTTTTTTTATCATTTAGACAATCTAAGGTTATTTAAAGCCATTAAAAAAATACATTCTAAGCCTATTTAAAGACATTAAAACACAATGCAAGTCTATTTAAAGCTATCAAATATCAGTTAGCCTAGTCAGCATGACCTACACATGAACTCTGACACATGAACTCTGACACCTGTTTGTGTGATTACCGTAAAGACAATTGAAAAACTTCAAAGTAATGAAGTTCACGGTGTTTTCAATATTTTTAAGTCTGTGCCTTAACTACTGGTGCACAATATTCGGCTAATTATACTTACCATCGGTCCTCACTCTATAAGAGAAGAGGTATACTTTACTTAATATCATTCTTCAGGTAAGGTATACTTTACTTAATATCATTCTTCAGGTAAGGTATACTTTACTTAATATCATCCTTTAGATATATATTAGAACATATTAGAGTTTATCTGAATCATGAATCACCGGCGTCATCCTAGTTCGTGGAAGGGGGGGGGGGTATCAGCCTCACTCAGTACTCTTGGAACCACTGATACCTTATACATAATCTTATGGTGAGGGAAGTTGATCATTATAGCAACATCCACCCCCCCCCCCCTCTTTCCAAAGATAAGCATAAAGAAGTATGTGCTGCCAATAACATCTCAAATTTTACAAAAATTTCTGCCCAACAACAGACGGACAATCTTTTTAAGTTACAAGGGAATAACTATAATATCTAGCAAGCTTTTCTTTTCCGCCGATCTTTGTTTTCTATGTGTTATACAAGTCAGTGACGTAGCCAGGATCGTCACAAGGGGGGGGGGGGGGGGGTTCCAATTTTTACCCGGGGACAAACTTTCGATTTGCACCCCCCCCCCTCATACTTTTTATATAAATACCGAGGGGTCTATGGAGAGGTTATGACCCCCCTAATCCCCCCCCCCTGCCTACGCCACTGATACAAATGCCCAAACATGCCTACACTTGAAACGTTAACAAACACCATCAGTACAATGAAACCATTTGAGATCCGCTGGTCTATTTTCGTTTCCAGCACCTACTTTTGTTCCTGGCACAACGACACGTCTAGCGGTTCATTATGCTGCGACACGACACGACAATCTCCGGTACAGGGCGGTTCAGTTTGTATCCCATACACATTAGTTCAACATTTTCTTTCTAAACTTTTTTTTTTCGTCCTTCAATTTGTCTAACTTACTGATCTCTTCTTTTTTTTTTACCATTAATAAAATATCTTTAGGTAAAGATATTTTTATATAAGCAAAACAACAAGAATCCAGATCTGAAACATAGGCACACTGGTATAGCTAGGGGAGGGCGGGTGGGTCGGACGGGGGGGGGGGGCGCCAATAGGGTAAAAAAAGTAATTTATAAGTTCATTTTAAGCTGAAGTATTGAATTATATAAGTAAAAGTTACGAAAATAAACGGAAATAAGGTTTTACGCGCTGATTAGCTGTTTTCTATATTAATTTTGTCGCACCGAAATAGAAAATGTTACGGGTTAGTAACTGGTAAGAAGCGCCACCAACATTTACAACTGGGGGAGGGGGGGGGAGTGCTTTTTCACAGACTGGAATAACTATAAATAGAAATGGGAGGGAGGGGGCGCAAAATTGAAAGTCTGTCCCGGGCGCCGGAATAGGTGCTACGTCTATAAAAAAAAATTTAGGCAGTATTATAGCTTATAATAGTTAAATCATAGACAAGGCTTTGTTATAGTGTGTGTAAGAAATTATAAATATTAAGAAAATCAATATATAGACCAATACTTGAACGGTATAAAAAGAATTAGGCCTACATTCAGACCAACCACAATCACTACGGTGAAGCTACCCTTTGGTGCCTGGGTAGATGAAGTAGAGTTCACGTTTTTCTGTGACCTCGGCACATCAAGGGATTGTGTGGTCGACACTATGTCCAGTCGCTTGAGTCAGGTACCCATCCGAGCTGGGTGGACTCAGATCCGAACTCGCGGCTATCGGCCGTGCGCTCTATCATCTGACCATGCCTCCAGTGTTTCTTCTAGACTTTTTTCTCCGGGGGGGGGCACTTGATATTTTCGGGGGGGGGGGGGGGGGGGGGGGTGGGGCGGTCAACATTTTCCGGGGGGGGGGGGCGGACTAGTAAAAGTATATGTTTACTATATAAATTCCATCTCGTTGGCGGTAGACTTTCTTCGGGGTGGGGGGGTGTCTCCGTCCCCGTCCCCGTCCCCCCACCCCCGAAGAGATGCCTGGAAGAAACTCTGCATGCCTCCTATACAATTCCCTTATGTTACATTAGAAATTTTTAGTCTATTTATATAGCCATCATTCATCAAACACAGTAGTGTTTATTTCGGCCAACGATAGAAGGAATACGTCGCTGAGCTCATAATTATCTTCTCAGAGTTGAGAGGA